GGGTCGCCATACTTTCATTCATTTTTCTTGCTGCTTCAGCGGATTCGTTGTAACTGAAATAGTAACATCGAATGTTGTGCGAGTTTTACAACTTGATTCAGTGATTCTTGCAATGCAATGTAATTACTCTTGTTCGAGTGTGGTTGGAGCGCGCCACTGATAGGCCACACTTCTGTACTGTCCCTCTGCTGTTTCTGTGTAGGAAGTCCTTCGTTGCCGAAGATGACGATGAATCCTGCAACTCATCTGTGGACGCGCATGTGGCTGTGCAATCCGGTCCTGGATGAACAATGTCTGTTGCAGTAGGGACACTGGAATGTCGTGGTTGTGGCGGTTGGCGTATGTCTCCTCTCTCTTCTGATAGTCAGCTTCTCCCTGTTGTTTGTATCGCTGTGTCTGCAGGCAATACAGACGGCCCTGCGCTAGGTGTTCCTTTCGGTGGCTGTTCTTTCGGGTCTTTGGGTGTTACCTTAGTAAACTGGAGGTTTTCCTTTATCGTGTCTTTGAACCGCTTTTTTGGCCTCCCGAGATTTCTTTTTCCACTTGCGAGTTCGCCGTACAGCAGGTGTTTTGGCATTCGGTGGCCTTTCATGCCGATGACATGGCCGACCCATCTCAGCTGTTTCTGTATCCCAGCACAAACTGACCATTTGTGTCGATGTGCTTCTCTTTATTTGCTATTTATACAAATAAGCAAACTGCATCCTCGTTGCCTCATTGTCAGTCTCTTGCTTAGTGAATTGAGTGGTTGGTCCTACACTTTTTAAATCAGTATCAACAAAACAAACAGCAACACAAAAAAAACCAAAAAAAGAAAACCTGCATAGAAGATATTGACATTGATATAAATAATAAAAGCACCCCACCCCCCGTCCCTTCCAAAACCTTAATACATTTCTGGAGCCAGGACTTTTAACTCATAAAACATATTACTCTTTTCTCTGCACTTAATACCCGTTGTCGTGTTGATCTGTTTCTCTTTACTTAATCGTCAAGCGAAATTAAATTATTTATGTCATGTAGCACGATATGACCAATCAGTCACGTCACAACATTCTGCTTTTTTAAATAGATGTTTATTCATTGAAAATATGTAGTTACGCCACTTTCAGGGCAGTAAGGTTGTTTCAGAGGCAGCACCTGTGAATTCAACATAACATAATATCTCCTGTAGGACCGCGCCAAAAGGGTGGCGGTGTAAGAGCCTTCAAAACTCCCCTCAAAACTCAAGTTCAGAGCACCCCGTTGAAAATTCTAACCAAGGCCATCCGCTTTGTACTCCAGCATGAATTCAATCGAGCTAACTGTGCGCCCAACCTTGATTTATGAAGCTTAAAGGGAAGTCGGCCTGTGTTTGTACATTCTTTCTTTCTTTCTTTCTTCCGGCACGAGCCAATTTGCTCAAAGACGATCACATACGAGCTCAGAGTCGTGGTTGCGATTTAGCCTCTGAATACACTACAGCACTGACTTTTGTCCAGTCTTTTGGGTCAGATCGATCATGTCCATCAGCCGTAATTCGGCGTGTTCTAGCCTCCTGCTGGTCAAGTGGCCCTGACCAGTGAGCGATTTGTGTAGCCTCCGGCCGGCATTATGCTGCCTAGACCCCCTAATGGAAGGTTAAGCCGGTGACAAAATCTTGTTCTGTCTCGGGACATCTTGATGGTACGCTACTCTAAGATCACAAAGTTCTATCTGCTCAGTACCTAGTTTTGGGAAATATGACGTAACAATTTTTGAGTTTCACAATATGGTTAAGCTTTTTCGAATGCGATTCTTTGAATATCTTGACAACATCTCCGATTAATCTTACGATTGTAATAGAGCAGATAGAGCATTTGGTTTCTGAACTCATGGTATATGGGACTCAAAACGACCAAATAAAAATGTCAGATACAACTTTGTATTTCTAAGGTGGCGAGAAGTTAGCTCACGACGCCGCAGTGTTTTTTTCTTTGTCGATGTCTCATCACCACACACTGTGCTGGGAGAAAGGCTTGTCTTGAGAGCACAGAATTGCAAGAAGGAACAGAGGGTGTGAGCAAGTTTATGAGCCAACGCCATCATATCAGAACTGGTATCTAGGATCGATTGGCTTAGTTTATTGGCTGTTTTCTGTGAAATGCAAGTGGCGCACGTTCGATTCCCGCATTGTGGATTTTTTCACATAATGTACCCGTCTGTCTTCTTGGATACTGTGTCTCACTCAGCCTTGATTGACACTGACAAGCAGGGTGGGAGCAGTCCGCCTCTTGAATTATCAAAATGTGTTGATTGGGACATAAAGCATGTGCAACTACATTTTTTTTCCATAGTAAGTTGGCATATGATACTATTCCTCTTGTGGGTGGTTGATTAATGCTATGTGATTTGCTCCTTCTTTCTTATCAAAAGTAGATCATGCTTATCCCTCCTCCTTTTCTTTGTACATTACTCTCTAGTTAGGCCCCTAATCCCCGTACCCGGTAACTTATAGGACCTACCTGTGTTGGAAGTACCATAAAACTCCTTCTAAAACTAAAAGTTGTTTTGGAGGCGGTGTTCTTGTAATTCTTTCTTTTTAAAAAGAATTTCTTTTTTGGTTTTGCTCTGTTTCTGTTATTTCGAGCCCGTACTCACGCTACCAAATTAGGATACCTTTCTTATAGTTTTTGATCTTTTCCTCTCTCCAGATCCTCTTGTGTCTTTGATTTAGCTACTTATGTGTGAAGGTGACAATTACACTGAATGCGAAGACTGGATCGATAATAAAAGAAGGCTGATCCTTTTACGCGGGTGCATAGTTGTTCCCAGTTGAGCTGGGATCGAACCTTGGGTCACCACTCCTGGGTTTGTTGTTTGTTTGGGGGTTTGTTTGTTTGTTTTTTTTTGGGGGGGGGTTGTTGTTATTGTTTTTTGGGGGGTGGCCACAAAATTTAACGTGTTTTTGTTCCTGGCCATATGTGAATCACTCAAGTAAACCACATACTTTGCCTTTTTTAGGGAAATGCCCAGCTCATCAGTGTAAAGGCGAATGCGTTCCGAGTCAGGTGTAATATTTGACAAATAAAATGTAATGTTTGACTTTGTAATATGGCAAATACCTTTAATTTGAAACGGAAAACAAAGACCTGGTTCTATTTCGATGACAATTTTAGTTGTCGGCTGGTGAGTGTCTTGAAGAAGAAAGACTATTCATTTTATACTCACAATAAACACAAGAGGCTTTCTTTTTTTAGGCAAAACGTTTTACTGGCCAGTATCGGCGAATAAACCCAGTATATGAAGTAATTACGCTAATGCGTGTGAGGAGATGCAGATTACAGGGAGTGCAAGGAACGGATCGATGATCTTCCTTGTCGTTTGCCTCAGGCTGTAACATTTTGTCTTCGGGACTTGATGTGTTACTTTTACGCCTTTACTTTACCTTTTTTTTTTGTTGTAAGTGTTTTACGGTGCTCGATACTGCATAAGGTCATAATGAGCGCGCGGGACACATTGAACAATTTCAGTTTGTAGGAAATTTTGAGTTTTGCCCGAGTGTTGATCGAAGTCTACTCTTATCGATTTTGGACCTCCAAGGGATCGGCGTGCAACTTGCACACTTTAAAGATCCCTTAATTTTCCAAAATCGATAATAGTAGGCTTCGGTGGCCACCTTACTCTGTAGCGCTTGCAGGTCTGTTGGTAGCGTATTGCAATGCAATGTCCGAGGTCCTGGTTCAAGTTTCAGACGAGGCATTTTTTAGATCGATATTTTTCTGCTCGGAAATGGTGTTTTGGGGGTGTGGCTGGTTTACTTCTGTAACACTCCTCTTTTGCTTTGATCTTTCTTGCTTTTTCCAGCACATACTGCCCGTTGTTGTGTCGATGTGCCTCATTCTACTCAAACACTCAAACAAAATAAAACAAACAAACAAACAGAACTTCAAATTCGTAAATCACTTTTGACGTCTCTGTGGATGATTGGAGGGCGCACCATTGGTTCTCATTTCTTTACTTTCCCTGTTTAGTTCTGTCTGTTTTACATTTCCCCTGCTCTCTTGACCGGTGTATGGCTTGCGTATGTTTTAGTGTGGTTTGCTTGTTCTTTTATATCAAACGTCTATCGTCCTTATCTTTTGTCCTGCTTTTTGTTTTTGAAACTCTTTTGAAAACCTCTAATATTCGGCACACGTATAACCTAACTGCGTTGCAAACTCTTCTATACTAAACAAACTAAAAGCTCTCTAGAAACACCTCTTCCCTTTGACACATTTATGTCCTATTTGTGTCTTAAGTGCCGGAAAACTCGTACTAAAACTGAATCAACCTAAACTCAATCGAACAAAGCCAGTAAGTGGTTGGTGGGTGCTGGTGCGGTTTGCTCCTTCTTTCCAAATAAACGTTCGTCGTTCGTATCTCCCCTGCTTCTTTTTTGTGTTTGTTACTTTCTTGTGTCACTTTTAATCTTTGGAACTTATATGACCTAATTGTGTTGCAAGAGCCGTTAAACTCTAACTAAAACTAAACAGATCAAAGTCACCATCAGTGGGTGGTTGGCGGGTGCTCTGGTGTGGTTTGCTTCTTCTTTCCTATCAAACATATACCGTCCTTTTATTCCCTCCTTCTTTTTTATGTTTGTTACTCTCTGGTGTTACACCTCTAATCTTCTGGCGCTCATATGACCTTATGAGTGGCGTCGGTAGCCTAGTGGTTAGGCTACCGGACTCGTAATCGTGAGATTGAGGGTTCGGGGGTTCGAGCCTCAGCTCGGTCCGATGTTGTGTCCTTGGGAAAGGTACTTTACACGAACATCCCACTTGGCTCGGTCCTATCGAAGACGGGCGTTAAATTAGGAGGTCCCGCCTCTTAAATAACCTAATGGTGTTGATAGGGGCGTTAAACTCATACCATTTCACCATTTTTAATGACCTTTTGCAGTTGAGAGCGCCGTAAAACCTCGACTAAAACAAAACAAAAGTCACCATCATGTTCCTAGTAAACACGTCATGAATTCTCTCTTCTATTCTCGTCCCCAGAGCTGCAAAAATGAGCGGGAAGAAATCCGGCGTCGCCTGGCCATGTCAACAGAGGACGAGACCACGGCAGACGAGCCGGACCCCTCAGAGACTCTCTCCCCGAGGAAGCAGAGACTGCAGGTTCGTTGTTGGTTGGGGGGGTTCATTGGGGGTGGGGGGGGGGAGAGGAGAGGGAATTTTGGTTTGTTTTTGTTTTGTTTTGTTATTGTCGTTGTTATTTTGTTTTAATCACATTGTTGCGTACGTTTTTGTTGTTGTTGTTTGTGTATGTTGTGCGTTTTTGTGTGTGGTTTTTTGTGTATTTACGTATTTGTGTGTGAGTATGTGTGTGTGTCTATGTGTGTGTGTATGTGTGTGTGCGTGCGTATGCGCGTTTTTTGAGTGTACGTAAGTCCGTTCGCGCCCGTGCGCATGCGTGAAAGTCAGCCAATCGATGAAACAATATTCAACCCTCAGCTAATCGATAAAGCAAAAATCAACTCTCCGCCAAAACAATAAAACAAAACAAGCAGTCCTTACTTGCTGGCGTCCGTGGTGTAATGGTTCGGCCTTTTGCCAATGCACGCAGTAGGTTCCAATTGTATTCTCTGTCGTGGAAGTTGTTGTGTTGAATGCTTGCTTGTTGGGATGTTGGTGGGTGGTTGGCGGGTGCTCTGGTGTTGTTTACTCCTTCTTTCCTATCTTAATATCTATCGTCCTTATCTCCCCTCCTTCTATTTTGGGTTTGTTACTCTCCTTTAACACCTCTAATCTTCGGCACTTATATGACCTTATTGTGGTGCAAGTGCCGTAAAATTCATACTAAACTAAACTGGGATGTTGCATCTCACTCACCCCCCCCCCCTTTTTTTCTTCTCCCATGGCTGACCCTGACAAACAGGGCCGAAGCAGCATACATTATAAATGATCCTAGTCGAGTGGAGGAAAAACAATTACAATCATTATACGTAATTAGTCTTTGCGGACGTACGGCAACTTGTTTTGTTTCCAGCTGGGGCTATTAGTACATCCTGCTTCTTTCCTTTCCTTCTATTGTTTTTGTCTGCTTGTCTTTGCCTTTCCTTGCTCTAAATTGAAAGCTTTTTTTTTTTAATATCTCTGTGCTTCTTTTTTCTCTTGTCATTTCTCTACATACAGTAAAGAACTGTTATTGTGTCAATATGCTTCTTTTTATCCAAAGTCCCCCGTTTTTCTCTGTAAGAAGTGGCCGTTGTGTGTCAAGTTCTTCACTTTACTCTTTGCTATCCTAGAATTACAAAGTTCGATAGCCTAACCACAGAGAAACAGAAACAGTCACGTTTCTCCTCGACAATGGGTGGGGCGTCTTAGACAGTTTTGGCTGTACTGCTCTTTCCTCAAACAAACAACCAACAATCAAACTTTCAACCCCAGGACCGTCTTCAGGCCACCCCCAGCGGCATGCAGATCTGCTTCATGAACGATGACGTGCTAGATGACGACGAGGACGATAACCTGATCACGGCCAGACTTGACGACCCTGACAACGAGTCGTCGTCCTGCCCGGAGTCCTCCAGTGAGGACAAGAGTGGCTCGCTGACCGAGGTATGTTTCTCTTTTTTTCTGTCGTTCTCTCTATGTCATTCTGCCTCTCTTTCTGTTTCTTTCTCTGTCTGGTCATTTTGTCGCTGTATCTATCGATCTATCTATTTATCTATCTCTCTATACATCTATCTATATATCTATCTCTCTGTCTATCTATCTATCTATCTATCTATCTATCTATCTATCTATCTATCTATCTATCTATCTATCTATCTATCTATCTATCTATCTATCTTTCTATCTTTCTCTCTCTCTTTTTTTTCTTGCTCCCCCTTTCTATTTCTGTGTTTCTTTTATTTTGACTATCTTTCTTTTCATCAGTCTCTCTGTCTGTCTGTCTGTCTCTCTTTCTCTCTCTTTGTCTCTCTATCTCTCTCTCTTTGTCTCTCTATCTCTCTCTCTTTGTCTCTCTATCTCTCTCTTATCTCTCTTTCTCTCTCATCTCTCTCTCTCTCTCCTCGCTCTCACTCACATGCAGACACACGCAAGCAAACACACTCACATGCACACACACACACACACACACGCACACACACTCACTCACACACACACACACACACACACACACACACACACACACACACATAAACACACACTGACACACTTTTTCTGTTGTCGTGTTCCTGCCTGCAGCATGGACGCAAGGTATTTGTTTTGGGAGTTTTTGAACTCTTAAAACCTTTTCACGAACTGTCTACGGTCGATCAGTGCAAACATTATGATATTGAACACTTGCGTTGAGCTACACAGGTACCGGATATCCAAATATTCCAACGGATACAACACTCAGATATTCAAGCAGATACAACATCCGGATATCCGGATGGATACAACATTGAGTTTGTTAAATGCACCCGCCTGGCAATGTTCCAAATTGATAAGGAATGGGCTTGGGATGAGAGGAGAGAGAGAATATCAGACGAAAAAAAAGAAAAGAAAAAAAGCGCCTATGTCATGTCGGCGTGCGTCTGTCTGTTCTCTTTACTATAACGGCTTCCTCTATCCATCAATCTGTTTATCTGTCTGTCTTTCTATCTATCTATCTATCTATCTATCTATCTATCTATCTATCTATCTATCTCTCTCTCTCTCTCTCTCTCTATATATATATATATATATATATATATATATATATATATATATATATATATCCATCTACCTATCTATCTATCACTCGCCCCTGTCTCTCTCTCTCTCTCTCTCTCTCTCTCTCTCTCTCTCTCTCTCTCTCTCTCTCTCTCTCTCTCTTTATTTTTCAGTGTCTCACTCACGTATTCTCTCCCTACTTCCATGCCGGTTCTCTGCGCCATTTATTTCTATTGACCCAAGTCTTTACTGTCTTGTTTCACCGGCGTCTGTGGTGTGGTGGTTAGGTGTTTGGCTGTCGCACGCATGCGACCCGGCTTTGATTCCCGAGTTGGAAGAACGTTTTATATAGAGATTGTCGGTCTTTCTGTTGGGATGTTGTTTCTTTCCCAGACTGGCTTGGCTCTAATAGTCAGGGTCGCAAGCCCGCCCCTTAAATGACCTGAATTGTTCCGATGAGGGCGTAAAAAGCGCACACATTTAATTGATTAGAAGGGTAGATCTAGTTGTGTACTTGTATCGCCCCTAGTGATTATAATTTGAGCTTGTATGTATATGTATGAATGGATGTCTGTATGTGTGTATGTTGTGTGTGAGGGGAGAGAAAAGCAGACAGACAAGGGGAGGGAGGGAGAGAGAGAGAGAGAGAGAGAGAGAGAGAGAGAGTGTGTGTGTGTGTGTGTGTGTGTGAGAGAGAGGGCAGATAGAAAGATTTTTTTTAAAAACATCAGATCTTAAAACTGTAGCAAACCCGTCATTTGTCTGTGTACATACAAAAATCTTCTTGCCGTATTATATCTCTCTTTAAATGAAATAAATTATTCTGCTCTGCCTGGTTGTCTATTGCTGCTTATATTTTTCCCAGCGCTCTTTCAATAGCTTCCATCGTCTAGGGGAGGGTACAAGGATACAACCCAGTCCGCCTGTGCATGAAGGATGCCTGGGAGATGACAAATCAATACTGGCTGTATTATCTAGGAAGGAAATCTTACGTTTCTGCCCCTGGGATAGGGGTGGGAGGGAGAGGGGCGGCGGTCTTCCTTACGTCTGTGTTTGTTTAGCCGGGTCGACCTGCAGGTTACATGCAACTAAAGTGTATGAGTTTTATAAATGTTTTTTAATTACGAATTATTGTTAGTGCCCCCCCCCCCCTCTAGAAATAATGAATGAATGAATGATTGAATGAATGAATGATTGACTGGATGAATGAATGAATGAATGAATAAGACCATTTAGGAGGCGGGCTTTCACTCCTCGACACAAGTGACCTTTGTTCACGCTTTTGGCTCACATCGGTGTTCAATTGGCGTCTGTGATGTAGCGGGTAGCCGCTTTGCTGTCGCATGCAGTAGACCCGAGATCGATTCCCAAGTGGGCAGAATGTGTTTCGTGTATCTGCTGGGATTTTGTATCCCTGTCAGTCCTATCCCTCTCAGTCCGGGTTAACCCTGGCAAGCCTGGTCGCGTCCCGCCGCCTACATGATCTAAAATGTGTCAATAGGGGCGTTAAAACACCAACTTAAAAACATTGATGTCAGTTAACTGTAATTGGGCGTATGCCTCGAAGAAACATTCCCAAAATGTTGGCAGCATTGGTTTAGAGCTACATAAAGCTGAAGAGATCAAATATCATATTGCTTCTGGTCGGAAGTGTATTCCCTATAGTTACGGTCATCCACTGACGCAACAAGATTCAGAGCCCCAAGAATGAAATTAAGAACTTTTGGTGAGAAAAGTGTATCATTTTGTGGCCCCAAAATCTGGAACTCCTTGCCCCAGGATAGGCGAGAAAAAACAAATTTTAATACGTTTAACAGATTGTTAAAGACTCATTTTTTAAATTCTTAGTGTGTTAATAAGTGCAGTGCTGATATGTTTTGTTTTTACCAATGTCATTTCGTGTATATAATTTAAATGTCTGGTTACGAAAATTCTCCTTTATGTTGTTTAACTGATTTGTTTTGTTACCGTGAAATATTTTATCTTTTGTGAATCGTTCAATGATCATGTCATTAATGTAAAGCGCTCAGGACTTATACTAGTATGGGATAGAACGCGATATAAATGCAATCTATTATTATTACATTATTAGAGAAATACAGCTCGGTTTGGTCGTTTTTGACGCACGTACAAAAAGTAGTTTGATTAATTTGCCTTCTTTACATAATTTTGGAAAGAGCTGATTAACAATAAAAGTCGAGGACTTCGAAGTCATGTTTTTAAATTAAATGCCTGGGTTTTGTCGTTACGCACCCCTTAAAATGTGCTGTATATTGATATATTGATAAGTTCTTGAGCTGTCAAAAAAAAAGAAGAAATAATAGATAAAAGAAATTAAAGAAAATTACTGTTTCAGCATCGACTTATATCTTACTAGATGGGCCCCCTTTCGATGAAAGGAATGATCGGTGTATTAACATCAACTTAAAGTCATTGGCCTACCACTTACACTCTACTGGAATGGAGCAATAAATCTTAAGAGAAAAGTGACACATGTGTTTCTAAGTTGCCAAACAAGTCCTCAGTATTGTGCGACTATGCGTGATTGTATCGAACGGAAGTAGGAATTGAAATAAACAAACATGGTGGATTTTGTAAAATTACAAAAACAGAAGCGGCGGCCTACAAAAGCGATCAGCGAAATAAATAAATTTAGCTTTTTGCAACAAAACTGTCTCAAAACTGAAAAAATGAAGGGCGTCATGATCTGGAGAATATTTTAAAGAATCTTTTGGCGACAACTGCATTTCCATCGATGCAGCCACTAAAAAGCCTTTTGAATAGAAAAATTCGGCCACCACAAATAGATAATAGATTAGAAAGGGAAATGAATGTAAAATTGGATTTTTTAAACTGCAGCTGCTGGGCCTAAATGTTCATCAAAATGTTATTGTAGGCTGACAATACAAACGGGGCCAAAAACAAACCGTGCAAGATACATACCAATTCTAAATGTTCTATTCACTTTGTGTATGACACTCTGAAATGTCTCTGGAGGACTTCAACAAATCCTTTGACATGGAGCCGGAAAGCCTTGCTCCTTGCAGACCCAACTGGAGAGCAGCAGTCACAGTGGGCAGCAAGTCTTATGAGGCTTCACTAATAAGAAATGTTGAAACGAAGAGAGAGGCCTGCCAGCTACACACGTCCACAAGTGCAAGTGGAGCCTTTAAATGTTCAAAATGGGGCAAAAAAATTTCTAGCCGCAGCAGAAAGCCACAACTCATCGCAACTTTTAATTCTTCAAATTCTTCTATTTCGCTGGAGAAATGTTATCTTTTTGCGGATGTATACGTCACCGTCAGACATTGACGGACGAGATTTTATTGTCACTTTGCACCGTTTAAAAATGTTCGCAAAGCTGTAGCCGTTTGTTTGTGCTTTCAGCCAAGCTTCGACATCGTCAATACACAACTGCAAACTGGAACAATACAAGATTGAAAACACCGCTCTACTTCTCATTCGAACTATCGACAAACCAATTAAACAGTACCCCTTAATCCCCCCCCCACCCCCATCCCCACCCCCACCCCCGCACTCCCCCTTTTCGTAGGAGGAAATTCAACGTCGATCTAATGTTCCTTGTAAACATCTCTAAGAGACGTCGGTAGCCTAGCGGTTAGGCTACCTTGCTTGTAATCCTGAGATTGCGGGTTCGGGGGTTCGAGCTTCAGCTCGATCCGAAGTTGTGTCCTTGGGAAATGCACTCTACACGAATTTCCCATTTGGCTCGGTCCTTTCGGACATGGACTCGGCGGTGGTCCCGTCTCTTAAATAATCTAATAGTGTTGATAGGGGCGTTAACCTACCATTTCATACCGTACATCTCTAAAAGTGACAGTAAGCATTTTACTCATACCTGCTCATTGTGTGCAGTATATTATTATGCTTTTGAGTTTCCTTTATGTGTTGAC